TGATTGGCGGCGATTTCATTTGAACGGGCGGCAGAAAACGAGAAGCATTCGGACCCAAGTACACGGAAGGAATAAGGTATTTACGGTCTACAATGACAGAGAAGAGACTGTCAAGTTTGGCTGTGCTCAGCATTGAATCAAAACGCACTAAAGCTTTGGATGTTAATACGTTTGTGAGGCGTTTTGCTGAACAAGATGGTAATCGCCGCATTCAGCTGTAATAGGCATGCCAACTTGATGCTCTGCTCACGGATGACTCGAGCATTAAAAACTGTTAAGATGATGACCTTACGTGTGTACATATATTTTTTTCTTTGTGGGGGTCTGCCCTGAGAAAGTCAAATAAGATGGTGTGTAAAACTACACTGCCCAGACAAAAATAAGTAACCACTTTGATTTAACTAGGCCAGTAGGTAAGGGCATTCCACTGGATAATAATACCCCTGCATTATAGCAACAACAATAATAATAATAATAATAGCAATAATAATTGGGAGGGGGGGCGCGGCTGTTCTTATATTCTCTGAGGGGAGGCTCACCTTCCCACACTTTGAAAACCCCTGGTCTATATGATAGAGAACTGTAGCAGATACGACCGTACTCGTGTGGCTAGGGCCTGATACAACGAGACACTTCCTGTTCACACTCCAGCCTGCCACTGAGGTGTGTGTGTGTGTGTGTGTGTGTGTGTGTGTGTGTGTGTGTGTGTGTGTGTGTGTGTGTGTGTGTGTGTGTGTGTGTGGCCCTGCAGTCAGTCTCTGGGTGTTGCTTTAGATGTCTCACCCCGCAAACCAGATCCCTTTCTCACACACACACACACACACACACACACACACACACACACACACACACACACACACACACACACACACACACACACACACACACACTTTCAGTTTGGTCCTCCGGTTCAGTCAGCGCTTCATCTGTTGAGCAGAACCCCATTTTGCCAGTTCTTCCTTGGCTCCGAAAACAATTACCTCAGTTTTATCTTTGTTTATATAGAGATGTATTTATTTTGGATAAACCCCTTGAGATGCACCATCTCGTTTTTAAGGGGGTCCCGACAAAAGCAAAATAACAGAATGCAAAGCAACAACAAACCACGTACAGTCTGTTAATACTCATCTCTGCAGTGTGCAGAACATAAAACTCAGTCAGATAAAACTTCTTGGAGAGTTGAGTGTAGCGTCCTATAGTCAGGTCAGAGAGACTGCTCTAAGAATGGCACATCCAGAAGAGTCTGCAGTGTGTAGAGCATGAAACTATTTCAAAACAACATGAACATTACACCGGCTAATACATGTGTTAAAAAGTAGGCCATTCAAGTGAGTTTCATTAGACGCTCGTTGAGTTAAGCACGTACCTTATCTGCTCAGCATCAGAGGGTAAAACCACAGGTTAACCCGGTTAACAACATCCTCACAGAAACACTTCCCCTTCAGTTCTCAGAAGAGAAATACAGAAGCAGCAGGTTAGAGACTCTGACAGTCGAGAGCCAGAGACCGAGAGAGAAGCACGATGTCTGAATTTAGAAGGATCATGATGTCTTCATTCCTGATGCTGCTGCTCCACTTTCCAGGTGAGGATGCAGAGAACACACACTGTTTACGACTGTTAATGAAAGGCAGGGTTGCCAACTTTGGGTACCTGGCTGGAGTGAGATTTTGATATCATGGGTTTAATTCGGTTTAATTACACATATGCGCACGAAATGACTGCTATCGTGTCAGCAGCGGGACCTTAGCATATATATAGGATATATATACAATATATACAAATACACAATAATGGACACAGACTATAAAGGGCACAAAGTTTCATTCACTAATGAAAGTCAGACATGTTTGTTTCCACTGTTTTATTGTGTGCCTGTCGTGATAAGCAATTAATTGACTTATCGTACGATAAATAAAAATGAACTCGATAACTTTTCTGACCTCGATAAATTGCCATTTACAGTACATGAGGATGTGACTAGCAGTTTGAAAGGATGTACTTGAATTATTATTATATATTATCATTATGTCAGTGGTCTAAAATGGTCATACAACGGTGCCGACAATATTATCGTTTATCGCAATAATTTCCGGGAAAATGTATCCAACAATATTAATTATCGTGAGAGGCCTATACATGAAACACACACACACAAACAAATCTACAGACTTACTCCAAACTGCCAAATATATTAATTAACACACTCTCACTCTCATATACTCTTTGACTCTATTTTGGCCTAGTAGAACAATAAGCAGCAGACTTTGACTTTTTTATCATTTCTACTGGATCTTAGATCTGCGCATGCGCTCCAGAGTATTTTTGTTGGGTAATCTATGGTAGGGCTAACCCATACAGTGGTGGGGCTCAAATCAGTATTTGCAATGTAATTACATACACGCTCCCCCCGACAGTGAAACGCCACGCGTGAGGTTTAGATTATTTCCCTGTCTCAATCCAAATTGAACTGTATGAAATAAAAAGGCACATTTGTCTTGTAGTAAATAAAAAGGGCGACCTGGAGCCAATCCTGCAATTTCCCCACAGGTGAAAGAGTTGACCCCTGCAGGGGGGGTCTGGGGGGATTCTCCCCCAGGAGAATTTTTTAAATACTAACATAAAATACACATTCTGGTACTCTCTTGAGAAGAAAAATAAATAAATCTATTACTACACATTTAAAAAAATGAATGCCATATTAGTTTTTTGTTACTTTGTTCTGAAAGCTGAACCTGCTGCTCCTCACAGAGAGAAGAGGGAAGAGGCTGTGTGAATTACTTTACATTGTGGATAAGGGTGGATAGCCCCCATTGTTCTGTGTGTCAAAATGAAAGACAGCCCACACACCTATCAATCATCAAACCGTGGGGTCTTATTTCATTACGTGTTGATTTCTATCAACACGTAATGTTGTATCGATGTATAGAGATGTACTACCGCAAAAGTATTCTCATCTCCGTCGGGACTTCCTGCAACAACACCACGCCGTTATCGTGATTCTGATTGGCCAGAATACATTATCAAAGATGTTCTATTGAGAAGACGATCACTACGTGAGAAAAGTTTTCAAAACCGTTTCTCGTCTTCGTATTCTTATTTTTGGCGTGAGAATAGTTTGGGCAGCGTGAGAGCGTGAGATTGAGAGTGAAAGCGTGTGTCACACGCCAGATGCGTGAGAGTTGGCAACCCTGTGAAAGGTAGTGAGGCCGTCTTTCAATTGAAATCGATGTATCCTTGGGCAAGATGCTTAACCCCAAGTCGCTCCCAATGGGGAACGGTGTGTGAATGATACCTTCTGTCGTGGAGTTTGAATCAGTTTCTACATTTAATATCCACTTTCCTCTATCGGGGTTGTGGGTTATGACGCGCCTCACTTTGCTTCCAAACTAACTTTGCAGAGATCGTTGTAGTGTTGAATCACATCAGGTTTATTCTTTGATCAAGACGACATACAAACATGAAGACAAACTTCCTCGCTTCAAAGTAACTAAAAGTTCTCCGTATCAAAAAAGAACAAAAAGAACAAAAAGAACACGGTCAAAAGACTCTACCGCTTCCTGTCTAATCACACCCTCAGCTGTGAACCAATGTCATGCCATATATAGACATATAGACATATAGACATGCACGTCACATCCGACAGCAAATAAGTGAGACTTAAACTAACATCTTTTAAAGCGTAGTGTGACTCACAAAAATAAATAGTTAAGAGTTTCCTCTAAAGCCTTTTAGTAATAAGACAAACATTCAAACCTTAATGATGAAAGGGAAATGGCTCTAACCCCTTCATTGAGCAAGGGGCACATTGCTCTGTATGCATTGGGTGTGAATGGGTGACTTGTTGTATGTAAAGCGCTTTGAGGGGGTGAAAGACTGGATAAAGCGCTTTATAAATACAGTCCATTTACCATTTACCAATTACATGAAATAAAACAGCTTTAATATCACTAACGGTACTTTACTACGTACTGTTCCTTTAACTGAGAATGATGAGTTGTGTTTGTAACGTGGTGACTTTAGTGAACTCTTGGTCACTAAAACCCACATAGCAATACTCTTTAAAGTGATCGTCACACTCACTATGAACACTTCAGTTAGTTATGTGGATCTGTAATTAACTCTGGTTTGAATGTGTCGTTAAATGATTCATTAAACAGATCAACCAGAACTCTAACTCTTTACCTTTTTATATAATAAATCATTATTCTGTCAGCATTTATGACGTCTATATTTATTTCTGATTTCTTTCCCCAACAGCTGCAGATTTGAAAGGTTACTCCCTCACTGTCAGACCTGGAGATGAAGTCACTTTGCCTTTTGACAATGTGATAGATGATCAGGATAAGTGTGAGAGTACTTGGTGGAGCTTCAGTGATTCACCTAACCCACCAGCAGTGAGGCTGTTTGCAGACGGACAGATTCACAAAGCAGCCAAAGCTAAATCAGACAGACTGAGAGTTACACAGAATTGTTCTCTGGTTATAAAGAAGGTCACAGAGGAGGATGCTGGAGGTTACGGCTGCAGACAGTTCAGATCAGGAGAACAACAAGGTTCACTCTCTGTGGTTTATCTGTATGTTGTTACCAGTGAGTATTTACATCATGATGTTTTAAACTGTCTCTATAGAGCAATATACTAAATCATTACAATAATAATGATTACAGTGATGAAGTTAATGTTACTCTTGTTGTCTTTTCTCTCACAATATCTCCATCTTCAGTGACTGAACATCAGGACAATGATGAGGTGACGTTACGCTGCTCTGTGTCGACATATGGACAGTGTGATCACAGAGTGAAGTGGCTGCTTCAGGGTCAAGATGTGGATAAAGATCACAGAGAGATAAAGACATCACAGTCTCTCTGCTCTGCCTCTGTGACATTTCTGACTTCTCTCTTTAGTTACACAACAAGGTCTGAGTTGTTTACTTGTAAAGTAACTGATGAGCTCACAGGAGACGTACAGGTGTTTCCCTTCAGCGATCAGTCCTCAGGTGAGAACATGATAAGCTGTTTCAAATCACTTCTAACAGTCTTGTTATAAGAATATATTGAAACAACACATTTACAACATCTCACATTTATCAGGGATTGAATGAGTTTCTGAAATGTGAAGTGACAGATGGTTATGATAAAAAAGAGAAGCTCTTAATTGAGAAACCAGGTTAGAATATAATGAGTTGTTTTAAATCACTTATCACACATTTAATCACAGATAATGCTTTTGGGATTTGAGGTTTTGACGTCACATCATTTTGTCATTTGGTTTATGCATAAAACAACTGGAACACCAACAATTCATGAATGGACATCTGAAAACAACAACAAAGAAACAGACAGCAAACATCCAGAAGGACCAGGTAGTGACTGAAGAGAAGAAATACATTTAACAGCTAAAAACCTCTGACTATATTTCACACTTGGGACTTCTCTCTTTCCAGCTGTGTGGTGGCTCATCATGGTGTCTGTGGGGTTAGCAGCTCTCATCACCATGGTTACAGTCCACATCTGGACCAGAGCTAAAGGTGAGGGTCCATAGATTCAAGGTAGGGTAGGTAAGTTTGAGAAACCGACTCGAGTTCATTTGTTATATTCCATGGAATGCTCTTAACATCCCGATAGCAATGAATATCAATAATAAGTGCTTTGACAAAAAATCCTACCTGCCTGTCAGCCTTCCATCTGTGCACAAACTTATCTCGTGCCCTCATTGGTCATGTGCGCGTTCGTGTGTGTTGGAGGAGGGGCTCTGTAAGGAAGTGGCAGATTTTCTCCGGTTGTGTATCTCCAAAATTACCTACCCCACCTTTAAGGAGAAAAGAAAAAGTAAACCGTGGAAGCTGAAGTCAACATGTTTGTCTTTTTGGTTTTTTTCAGGGGGCAAAAAACGGATGACAAAAAACCTTGTGAGTTTAACCTGTTACGCACCTTCCGCCCGGTACCGGGCGGATAAACGCGTCATTTGCAGGAAACAACGTCTAAGGAATCTTAATATTGAATAAAACTATGAATGTGTTATATCCATGTAACGGGAAGAAACTCAGCTAACTGATCTTTTTAATTTTTTTTTTCAAAAAAAACCCACAATGCTAGCACTCAGCCTCTGAATTAGCCACGAGCGAAAACATGGAACGTAATGCGGCACTTAAACTCACTCAGAACTCCCTTATTACTTATCCTAGATGCACAACCAAACACTCTTTTTTGGTGTCCTGGAGACACTGAATCTAACGGTGCCCTCCTCAACACTCAGTGATAAACATTCGCGACGCTATAAACGAAAGCGTACATCATCACATGTGGAGCTAAGTAGCTAAACACGTAAACATGGCTTACCTTGGTCAAAAGTGGTCTTCAATGGCATTAAAACGATAAAAAAACGATGCTGCAGTTAATCCATAGGTTCATCCTATGTGTCTGTGCCTTCTTTGAAATTATTTCTGATAATCCATAAGCAATACAACTGCGTTTTAGTTTCCAAACTCCAGAAGGAGACATTCTTCCACTTTGCTTTCGTTTTCCACACGCGAAGCGCCCACATTTTTTCTTTACAACGTGTGTGGGTGTGTGCCTCCCCCTTCGATTCTATTGGCTCTAACGGTCACAAGGGTATGTCAACCAACCAAATCGACCAAGGGGGGCCAGAGATAGGTCAAATCCACCCAAATGACCCCAGAAGTGGTTTTTGGCTAAATCTCTCTAAAAAGGTCAAATTTCACTTGTTTTGCATCAATCTTGATACAGGGTACTTATTATATGTTGTACTTTGGATTCCTAAAGCTTTTAGTCTACTAACCCATCATCCAAGGGTAGTTTTCACTATCTGTAAAAAATAATCTTTGGACGGACACTATAATTTACAGTTTTTTACTATGTAAAATCTGAATTTTCTTTAAAATAAAAAACATCTATATTGATTCTGACACTTCTACATCCAACTCACAGGTTTATCATTACTTTGAGAAAAGATTATTAATTTAACCCTTTTAGAAGGGAAGATATGGTCATTTGTTCTGGGAATGTCATTTTCGAGCCTGAGACCTGAAAAACAGGCTCAGAGTGGAACAGGTTAAATATAAAATAATAGTTTGTAATATTTATTATTTTAATTTAACTGTGATTATAAGACAGGCAGAAGATTCAACAAAGGAGTAAAGTGTGCATGTTGTGTTGAAATGAAGTATCTCTGTGGTTCCCTTGAGCAAGGCACTAAAGGAAGTACTGAGATATTGCACTTCATTAAAAGTAGCAATACTACAATGTAGAAATACTCTAATATATAAATATGATTAATAATACAAATATACCTACATTGAAAGTACTGATTATGCAGAATGTAATAATATAATATATGATTATAATAAGTGATGTTTTAATGTGTATCACTTCCATTTGCAATGTATGGTTTATTAAAATGACTGTACATACTACTGGGTAGCTTAACTAGTTATATTTGTCATGTAATACATCATAGATGGTGATTTCTGCTCAATTTAAGAATGAAATAAATACATAATAAAAGATGTTAAAGCAAGAATGTGTAATAAAAATGAATGGATGAAGACGAGTAAAAAGTTCAACATGAAGCTCCAGAATAAGGAGCAGTTAAAGTGTAAAGTAGCATTAACTGATGATAGTCAAGTAAAGTCCTTAAAATATGTACTGAAGTACAAAACTGAGTAAATGTACTAAGTTACTTTCCAGCTCTGCTCTGTGTTTTCACCATGTCTCTGTTCCATGGTGACAGGAGCAGAATGATGAAGATGAAGATGAAGATGAGGTGAACTATGAAAACGATGGAGGGGCTTCTGCCTCTGTGTGACTGATCAACAACATCAACTCCCCTCAGAGTCCATGCTGTCAAACATCACCTCCTCATATTCTACAGGAGAAAACAGGAGAACCATGAGATCATTGGAACATTTCTGATGACTGAGAACACCTGAGCCCCATGAGAGGCCCTTCAGAAACTCACCTCCATATGATAGGAAACATAGCTTATTATATTCATTCATTTCTGATTTAACATCCTTTAAGTATGCTCTCACATTCCCATACATAGTTATATATCTGATCTATAGTCTACAGTCTCTGTATATAACATCTCAATATTAGCAGTACTTGTGCTCACACCTTATACCTTCACTTCTCACTGTAACTGCTGCACATGTTCAAACATACAAGTGTTGGGTTGAATTCATAACATTTCTAAATTGTAAAATAATCCCTAATCTATATTTCTTCATTGTGCTCTCTAGGGACTTTCAGTCAAACTTGGTCTAATCAATTTTAAGAATATCTTTTATTTGTTTTTGTTATTAATGATTCATATAATGTCTTCTAATTAGCATAGCGTGTACTTATACCTACAGTATATATACCTGTACTGCCTAACTGCTGCACATGCTGTATATATCTGATCAATAGTCTATACAATATATTTACTATACTCTCTTTTTACTCTATATGTATTCCTAAAGCTGAAATGCCTCCAGTATCTTAGGATGTTTTAATTAGCTTAAGTCCTAATGGAATATGTTACTCCTTTTTTTACTACGGCTTTAATGATATATAATCCAAATAAAAAGAGTGCTTTTAATCAATGTTATAATGAGTTGTGTTTCTCTCTCTATCTCCAACACACTGACAACACAACGCTTTGTTGGGTTGAACACCTCTCTTTGCCCTGGCTCTCACTTTGTAAACAACATACAGTTTGTATCAGAGCCAAGGAAGGTGTTGCACATTTAGTGGAGCTGTGGTGATATCCTGGGATCAGGTATGAGGCAACAAAGAAAGTGATACAGTTTGTGTCAGAGCCAAGGAAGGTGTTTTTTTAAATACTTTATTTACACCGTGGGGAATTATTTTTGGTAACCATTTTGTTTGTATTATTATATAAATTAAATCAAATCATAATAATAAAAACAAATGGTTAAATAATTATTCATCCTGGGTTACATTTAAATTCGTAAAAGTTGCTCCATTTTAGAAATAGAATATGGATTAAAAGATGAAAACATTTGGGGATATTTCTTTATTAAATACTCAGATCGTGTACTGGAGTAAAAGTAGAAGTACTCAGATCTTGTACTTGAGTAAAAGTAGAAGTACTCAGATCTTGTACTTGAGTAAAAGTAGAAGTACTCAGATCTTGTACTTGAGTAAAAGTAGAAGTACTCAGATCTTGTACTTGAGTAAAAGTAGAAGTACTCAGATCTTGTACTTGAGTAAAAGTAGAAGTACTCAGATCTTGTACTTGAGTAAAAGTAGAAGAACTCAGATCTTGTACTTTAGTAAAACAGTACGCTACCTTTCATATCTGTAGTAGTTTGTCCGACAGGCCGTGTTTTGTTTGGGTTTCATGTGTTTTTTACTGTAAACAAAGTGGGTTGAAGTACTCAGATCTTGTACTTCGTTAAGGTAGAAGTACTCAGATCTTGTACTTGAGTAAAAGTAGAAGTACTCTGATCTTGTACTTGAGTAAAAGTAGAAGTACCAGAGTGTAGGAATACTCTGTTACAGTAAAAACCCTGCATTCAAAATGTTCCTCAAGTAAAAGTAGAAAAGTATTATCATCAAAATATAGTGAAAGTAGCGACAGTAAAAGTAGTCATTGTGCAGATTGGTCCATTTCAGAATAATATATATGATATTGTAGTGCCGAGAGAAGGGAGACGGAGGCGGTGTATCAGAGTTGCAAATCTCTCTTTATTGGAGAGCAGAAATCGACGTGCTGTCGGGTTGCAGGAAAGAGGAGAAGAGAAAGTGAAAGAGGAGGACACACAGTAGGTACCCCGGAGGTACCGTCAACATATGTGTCCGGGCGGAAACAATACCCCCAACCTGTAGTTCCATGATTGGATTATGTAACCCCAGTGTATGCATCAGTGATCACTACACAAGCCCCCCCAGAATTCAACCATGGACACAATCCTCGCGTCGGGAGGAAGCACCACAGGGGCCGAGGAGGGCGGGCCACGGAACGGGCCGTCGGAAGGGGGCCGCAGGAGAGGGTAGGGGCCCCAACGAAGGCGAGGGCAACCCCACCGGAGGGCGGGCCGGAACGGGCCGTCGTCAGGGGGCCGCAGAAAGCAGGGTCGCTGTGTCGAGACCAGGGGACGGGCGTGAAAAACCCGGTGGTCCCCAGCCGGGAGGAGCGCTGCCCGGCCGCAGGCGAAGGCACAGCGGCGGCGGGCACGAAGTCCTCGGGAGGAAGGAGCCGTGGACAGGGGAGAGGCCAGACGGGGCGCCGTCGAGGCGAACCGTGAGCCGCGGTCAGAGGTGAGGCCAGGCAGGGTCCCGAAGCGCGCCACCCACGGGCCGATGAAGGCATGGGCGACGTCCGGAACCGCCGAGGCGAGGGAAGAGGCGAGACGGGGTCCAGAAGCGCGCCACTGTGTGACGTCCGAAGCCGCCGTCGAGGTGGTGAAACAGCGAGAGGGTCCACACGAGGCCGACCAGCCATGGTCGAACCTCCTCTCCGGCACCAGAAAAAGCTCAAAAGGTCGTCCTGTCCACGAACAAAAACAGGTGGGCGAAATAGCGAGAGGATCCACGCGAGGCCGACCAGACATGATCGAACCCCCTCTCCGGCACCACAAAAAAATTAAAAATAAATTAAAAAAAACAGTCGGTTGTCGATAGCCGCCGGTAGCTGCAAGGCGTTAGCTGATGCTAGCAGTCGTCGCTAGCCGTTCTCGGCGGCCGTCAGTCGCTGGCCGGACATGCAGCCGCACGTCCCGAACCAACCCGGCACGGTCGCGTACCGGCCCCATGGAAGGCTTGCCGTCCCCCAGAGCCGAAAAGCCGTGAAAATGGCGAGCGTCGTCCGCGTCCATTCCGTGGGGCGCACCGAGCCTCAGTCCGTGCGCACGTGGCAGCAACGGAGGTCCCCAAAAATCTCCGGCATTTCGAGAAAAGCAGAGTCTGCTTTTTGCCGTGTTCGGTCCAGTCCCGGATCCTTCGCGAGACTTATGTCAGGGTCACCACTGTAGTGCCGAGAGAAGGGAGACGGAGGCGGTGTATCAGAGTTGCAAATCTCTCTTTATTGGAGATCAGAAATCGACGTGCTGTCGGGTTGCAGGAAAGAAGAGAAAGTGAAAGAGGAGGACACACAGTAGGTACCCCGGAGGTACCGTCAACATATGTGTCCGGGCGGAAACAATACCCCCAACCTGTAGTTCCATGATTGGATTATGTAACCCCAGTGTATGCATCAGTGATCACTACAATATGTTTTATAATGATTGATCATGAAAGTGTTCTCAAAGCTGGTAAAGGTGCAGCTAGTTTGAATGACTTTGTATACTGCAGGGTAGCTTGTGGATTTACTCCAGGTGGAATTAAATTCTGATTTAACACTTGATTATATTTCACATCAGTAATAGTGGGTGCAGTACCTCCTCCTTGTCGCCAGTTTGCGCTGCTCTCTTTCTGTTCTCCTGTAAAGTAATCCTCTCTTCCTCTGGGGGGTGAAAGGACACAAACAGCCGACATGACAACATTAAGACCCTTTAACTGCGATGATCTGTTCAAATTCAACAACATGTGAGTGAATTACCTTCAGTTTAACTCTCCTTTAGTGCTTCCTTCACCACGTGCTGCTGTGTTTGTGTCCTGATGTTGTTGATGTTGTTTAGCAGCTAGCAGGCTAACATGCCGGACAACGGTGCTGTGCAGAACTCCATTCATAAATAACATGGATTTGAGTGTTTATATTTTTAATTAGAGATAATAATAGGTGATATATCTGATAGGAACATATAGTGAATTGTTAGGGTCTTCTGGAGGAATCGGCACATGTTTAGAAAGTAAACAAGCTCACTATTCCGTAGCTAGTTTTATTTTTATTTTCCATATTATTAGGTTTTTTGTTAAATGTATTACTACTATTTTTTTTTATTATTTATTCATTATTTAATTTAATTTTTACAAACAATACACATACAAACTTGGCACTACATGCTGATATACACCTGAACATCAGCAGGAGAGGACTCTTTAAAGTAGAGACACTACGTACTGACATACACCTGAACATCAGCAGGAGAGGACTCTTTAAAGTAGAGACACTACATACTGATATACACCTGAACATCAGCAGGAGAGGACTCTTTAAAGTAGAGACATTACATACTGATATACACCTGAACATCAGCAGGAGAGGACTCTTTAAAGTAGAGACACTACATACTGATATACACCTGACCATCAGCAGGAAAGGACTCTTTAAAGTAGAGACACTACATACTGATATACACCTGAACATCAGCAGGAGAGGACTCTTTAAAGTAGAGACACTACATACTGATATACACCTGACCATCAGCAGGAGAGGACTCTTTAAAGTAGAGACACTACATACTGATATACACCTGAACATCAGCAGGAGAGGACTCTTTAAAGTAGAGACACTACATACTGATATACACCTGACCATCAGCAGGAGAGGACTCTTTAAAGTAGAGACACTACATACTGATATACACCTGAACATCAGCAGGAGAGGACTCTTTAAAGTAGAGACACTACATACTGATATACACCTGAACATCAGCAGGAGAGGACTCTTTAAAGTAGAGACACTACATACTGATATACACCTGAACATCAGCAGGAGAGGACTCTTTAAAGTAGAGACACTACATACTGATATACACCTGAACATCAGCAGGAGAGGACTCTTTAAAGTAGAGACACTACATACTGATATACACCTGAACATCAGCAGGAGAGGACTCTTTAAAGTAGAGACACTACATACTGATATACACCTGAACATCAGCAGGAGAGGACTCTTTAAAGTAGAGACACTACATACTGATATACACCTGACCATCAGCAGGAGAGGACTCTTTAAAGTAGAGACACTACATACTGATATACACCTGAACATCAGCAGGAGAGGACTCTTTAAAGTAGAGACACTAATTACTGATACAAAATAACAAAAACGAGATTTAAGTATTCCTAATTCTAATTAGAAATAATGAGTAGCGAATTTGTTTTATTATTAATTCATTATTTTGTATTGTTACTGGCTCCATCTCTTAGTTAGGATATTCAACAGCAAATCTGTAAATAACTTTATGCAATATATATACTTTTATATATTTAAATTGTACTTTTACTGCTGTTATCTGGCTGCTATCACAACACTTTATACATGTTACACTTATTTATTTTTTAAATACTGCTTCTGTGCTTCTGTATATATTTGTATCTACAATATTAAATGCTTACCTCTTAATTCATATTTGTGCCTCTTTACTGTACGAATATAAAGGGACTCTGATTTTAACTACGACTTATAGCGTATCATCATCAGCTTTATTTGAAGAGACTCTTCGTCCATTATTAAATGGACCAAGTATATTGAAGTATATTGAAATGATGTTAAATAATCGTTAAATTGACGTATGATAAATAACATTTAATGATTTTAATCACTGATGTTTGTCTGTGTTTTTGTCCAACAGCAACCTGGACCCATTGACAGAAACGGTATCCTCCATTTCATTTAAAGGGGACCTATCATTCAAAATGCACTTTTTTATGTCTTTTCTACATCAACATGTGTCCCCGGTGTGTCGGGGAACTC